TATAAAAGATAATTCAAAGATTCATTTCAAAAGGAAAAAATAGTCCAAACTGTCTAACTTGATTCAAGGTCTAACTCGACAAGTAACTTGTTTTGTTGTTGTTTATCTCACAGCCTATTTTAACAGATGAACTTTAGGAGATGAATTCATGATGAAAATGATCTGTTTGCAGGCTGTGCTGATGAAATAAATCTGCAGCAGTCTAATGTTTAATGCAGGATATCTTGCAGTAAAACATTAATGTGATGACAGATGTTCACATGAAAGCAGCTCTGTGATTCAGGTTCAGACATGAAAATGTTTTGTTAATTTCTTCTGCTCAACTAGTTCATGAAGCTCTGATTAAAAAGGAAACAAAACCCTCTAATTAAAACACAGGAAACCTGAGAAATGTAATTAATGAAGCACTCACACCTGCAGCTAAGCAGTGTGTATACCGAGGGGGTTTCCAGCTGCAGACAGCTGTTTGCACTTGTACGTCAGGGTGGCTCATCTGACTAAAAGACTTTTACTGGATTTTCAAACCACAAAAAGCAGGTTACAGGTTCATGAAAACCTTTGAATGAGCTTCTGACAGGAGCAGTGAGGAGGACACGTACCTCTGCAAACATCGGCAGACTGTTCACACCTTGAGTAACATAACAGCTCAGCCAACAAAGGGTTAGACTAAACATTAAGATGCTGCTGACGTCCACTAGAGGCTGCAGGAATCATTATACCCCACTGGTCATAATAATAATCACCTTAATTGGCCAAGTATGTTACACACAAGGAATTTGTTTCTGGTACAGAACCGATGGCAGCCATCTGCAGCGCCACCTCGACCAATGGCTCTAACCATTGGGGGCAACGGGGCAGGTTCAGTGTCTCGCCCAAGGACACTTCGACACGTGGACTGCCGGCACCGAGATTTGAATCTTCAGCCTTCTGGTTGGGAGACGACTGCTCTACCCGCCGCACCACTGTCGCCTCCCAAATAATCACGTCCGTGCTTGTGTCTCAGTTTCCACCCGGTCAGGCTGTCGACCCGGGCAGCGATCCGCGGACCAAAGAGCCCACAGTAGCTGGAGACATGGTGAACAAATCAGCGAGCGGTGACCTCTCACCAGTCATCTCACTGTTGTGCTGCATTGTAAATGCTCTAGAATTCAGACACTGTGGAAATGTTGCACAGTCATCTAATGTGTAAAACAAACGACTCCTCAATAGTATCCATCCAAAAGCTGTTCAGCACAACAGAAAGCAGGATTGTTCTCCTTGAAAGTCCTTTAATCTGACAATCTGGAATTTTGTCTTAAAGACAACTGACTGGATTGTTAAACAATAATAAAAGTTGTGGCTGATTCTTCTTTTTTTGGATAAATTAGATGTGAAGCTGTTGCAGGTCTGATTTCAATATACAGTGCCTTGCGAAAGTATTCGGCCCCCTTGAACTTTGCGACCTTTTGCCACATTTCAGGCTTCAAACATAAAGATATAAAACTGTAATTTTTTGTGAAGAATCAACAACAAGTGGGACACAATCATGAAGTGGAACGAAATTTATTGGATATGTCAAACTTTTTTAACAAATAAAAAACTGAAAAATTGGGCGTGCAAAATTATTCAGCCCCCTTAAGTTAATACTTTGTAGCGCCACCTTTTGCTGCGATTACAGCTGTAAGTCGCTTGGGGTATGTCTCTAACAGTTTTGCACATCAAGAGACTGAAATTTTTGCCCATTCCTCCTGCAAAACAGCTCGAGCTCAGTGAGATTGGATGGAGAGCGTTTGTGAACAGCAGTTTTCAGTTCTTTCCACAGATTCTCGATTGGATTCAGGTCTGGACTTTGACTTGACCATTCTAACACCTGGATATGTTTAGTTGTGAACCATTCCATTGTAGATTTTGCTTTATGTTTTGAATCATTGTCTTGTTGGAAGACAAATCTCCGTCCCAGTCTCAGGTCTTTTGCAGACTCCATCAGGTTTCCTTCCAGAATAGTCCTGTATTTGGCTCCATCCATCTTCCCATCAATTCTAACCATCTTCCCTGTCCCTGCTGAAGAAAAGCAGGCCCAAACCATGATGCTGCCACCACCATGTTTGACAGTGGGGATGGTGTGTTCAGGGTGATGAGCTGTGTTGCTTTTACGCCAAACATAACATTTTGCATTGTTGCCAAAAAGTTCGATTTTGGTTTCATCTGACCAGAGCACCTTCTTCCACATGTTTGGTGTGTCTCCCAGGTGGCTTGTGGCAAACTTTAAACGACACTTTTTATGGATATCTTTAAGAAATGGCTTTCTTCTTGCCACTCTTCCATAAAGGCCAGATTTGTGCAGTATACGACTGACTGTTGTCCTATGGACAGAGTCTCCCACCTCAGCTGTAGATCTCTGCAGTTCATCCAGAGTGATCATGGGCCTCTTGGCTACATCTCTGATCAGTCTTCTCCTTGTATGAGCTGAAAGTTTAGAGGGACGGCCAGGTCTTGGTAGATTTGCAGTGGTCTGATACTCCTTCCATTTCAATATTATCGCTTGCACAGTGCTCCTTGGGATGTTTAAAGCTTGGGAAATCTTTTTGTATCCAAATCCGGCTTTAAACTTCTCCACAACAGTATCTCGGACCTGCCTGGTGTGTTCCTTGTTCTTCATGATGCTCTCTGCGCTTTAAACGGACCTCTGAGACTATCACAGTGCAGGTGCATTTATACGGAGACTTGATTACACACAGGTGGATTCTATTTATCATCATTAGTCATTTAGGTCAACATTGGATCATTCAGAGATCCTCACTGAACTTCTGGAGAGAGTTTGCTGCACTGAAAGTAAAGGGGCTGAATAATTTTGCACGCCCAATTATTCAGTTTTTTATTTGTTAAAAAAGTTTGAAATATCCAATAAATTTCGTTCCACTTCATGATTGTGTCCCACTTGTTGTTGATTCTTCACAAAAAATTACAGTTTTATATCTTTATGTTTGAAGCCTGAAATGTGGCAAAAGGTCGCAAAGTTCAAGGGGGCCGAATACTTTCGCAAGGCACTGTATAAAGCACTTGAACACAGCCGAGGCCAACAAAGTGCTATTTTGCACGCCCAATTTTTTAGTTTTTTATTTGTTAAAAAAGTTTGACATATCCAATAAATTTCGTTCCACTTCATGATTGTGTCCCACTTGTTGTTGATTCTTCACAAAAAATTACAGTTTTATATCTTTATGTTTGAAGCCTGAAATGTGGCAAAAGGTCGCAAAGTTCAAGGGGGCCGAATACTTTCGCAAGGCACTGTAAAAGCAGCTCATGTTGGTAATGGCGTTCATTTTAGAAAGTAAATCTTCCCTTCATGTCTGAATTTGTATCCCTGCCCTGCAGACAGTGGGAGCCACTGACTGGGAGATGTTTCAGATCGACGGCAGGTTCTTCCTCGCTGTCGCCAACAGTCAGAAGATTTCAGACAGCGGCCCAAGTCTCTACAGCATCAACTCCACTGTGTATGAACTCAACACATTCACACAGACCTTCATCCGCTTTCAGGACGTCCTAACGCACAGGTGACCTACCTGCTCATTATACCGAGGGGTCTAGGTACAGCTTCTCAACCAGGGGATTGGACAGATCCTTTAACAAGTCTCATAGTGATGCTTTTGTTTTCTGTTGTCTGAATGTAAATGATTTCTGCTGCTGTTAATAGAAAAATTTGCTCAGTTTAAACAGCTACTGTTGAGGTACTATAGCTTTTTGGTCATGTTTAGGAGTGTAGTGGGCTGTAAACCATATGCTTCCAGCAGTTTCACCACAGTCTGACAGCACGGTGTGTTTTCTGTCTCCTGTTGGTTGTTCTCATGACAAATAAAATCAGTATAGAGACAGACTTCAGCTTAAAAAACAGTTTAGGTTTGGGGAAGTAAAAACCTGTTTCTTTAGTTTAGGTTTAAAAAAAAGTCAGCTCTGTGATAGAATGAATGCCAAGTGTTAGAGAGTTTCACAATTTGGGAACAGCCAAAGAAAAGGCGTTGAATTGTACTTCTGTGGCCTCAAGACCTACAGATCATATAGAAAACAAAGATATTAAAAACAAAACTACAGTCTGTCTGTAGTGGACTGCAATTAGGATGTTCCTAGCAGTTCCACTTATGTTCGGCACCACGTTTCACTTATCTGAAATATCAGCACTAAGATTGACTCAGACTCTGGCTGCAGGAGAATTTACAGCTGCTTTCATTCCTACATGTGAAGTTCAGCATGTCACTTGCAAACAGTTCGGAGGTGGGGATCACGCCTCTGCCCCTGTGACAAGTGGACGACCCCTCTAGCTGAACCACATCCTTATCCTTTGTTTTCCTGAAAGCATTTAGCCTTTTCTAGTTTTATTAATGAAATGTGATAGAGCGACATAATAAGATGCATCAAAGACAGTGGCAACTGATCCATGCCTTCTTCATTTCATCTCATTTTGTTTACTGCAACCTTCTTTTTTTCTATTTGTACCAAAAAAAACCTGTGAGCTGGCCTTTTACCCCATTCGGTCACTGAGGTCCACAAATGCAGCATTTCTGGCTGTTTCTAAGTCTGGACTGAAAAACAAAAGACACTGAGCATTTGCAGCCAGAGCAGCCTGAAGAAATCAGTTCACCTGAGTCAGTTTCATCTTTTAAAGTGCTTCTTAAAAGCTATTTTACAGAGTGGCTTTACTGTGCTGTTTTACCACATCCAGAATAGCAGTCCTAAAATTTTAAAAGTTGCATAAGCTGCATGAGCCTCTACATATTGAGAACATCACAGCTGCCCTTTGAAGAGACTGTGACTTAGTAAGACTCTTGCAGCTGAAAATCCTGTTGTTATGTTCAGTGCAGTAGACTGGGAGTTCTTCACCATCGGGGAGGAGAGCTTCTTGGTGGTGGCCAACTCTCACGATGGCAACTTGTACTCTCTGAACAGCGTCGTCTACAGGTTCGTACTTCCCATCAAAGGTTGGCAGATGTCTGCTGGTGCCTCTGCAGAGTTTGTGTGTTTGCAGCTCATTGTGTCCCTATGTTCTGTGTTTTCAGGTGGCAGGGTTATGAGGGATTTGTTCCTGTCCACAGCCTGCTGACATTCGGCTGCAGGGACTGGGAGCACTTCAGTACTGATGAAGGCTCCTTCCTCATCTACTCCAGCGCCACCTCCAGGCTCAGCAAGGTCTTCAAACTCAAAACCTACTGAATGAAGTCCATCCTTAATACTTGCTGCAGGGGCCAGCTATCATCATCACTGGCTGGTTTTTAGCCAGCAAAACAAATTGTGATCACAACCTACGTCCCTGCATGTCACCCTTTACAGCCACATTTTCTGTGAAGGTCTTCAGAGTTAAACCCTGAGATATGTCACACCTTCACCCTGTGGCAGAATTCTAGTTCTGATGATCCTGTTCGATCTATGTGCTCTAACAAGTATGTTTGTAGCATTTTTACTAAGGCAGTTAAGCCACGTGCTGATAAGATGATGCCCTCAGAGGGTCAAAGGCAAACTTTATAATGAGAAGAAACAGAAGGAAGGATCACACAGCATCTTGGGTGGCATCCTAAATCATTAACAACTACACAAAGGTCCAGCTAAAATTCAGGGTGGTGCTACCCTCCTGTTCAGGTGGGTGTTCAGTGCGGCTTCCACTTCCTGAGGGTATCACTTGGTGAATCCCAATTCCCTTGATTTATCATTCCTTGATCTATGGATTTTTGCTCCCCCTGGTAGTTGTTCCAGTTTGCCATGATTAAAGACATCCAAAAGCTCTTATTTCTGCTCTGAGGACTGAGGAGGCTGCTGAGAAGTTATAACCGAGGTTACACGAGTGCAAGCTTCACAGAAGCCTGTTACAGATTGACACACCCCTTTATAGGAAATCAGTTTGTGATCGGATGCTTCACATGAAAGTTCAGAGGAAAGGACGTGTCTCCTGGTTTCCTCTCTCCTTGAAGTTTCGCTGCATCTTTTTCTTGTGTCTTTCAAGGGTGGGACTAAGACGGAAGAAAAAGACGTGAGTGAGCAAAATGTGGATGCGGTTAAAGGACCCGGGATTCACCCATTACCTCTGATGTGCATCCAGACAGTCTTGAGGAGGCGCAGTAATTTGAACATCGGTTGAAACAATAACTTTAAACTTTTTAGAGACATATAAATAAGCAAAAACAGAACTGTTTGGATATATTACAGTGGAAATTATCATCTTCATGTGAGCAACCAAGAAAAAGCTTTTTAAGATCTTTTTGGACTCACAGTGGCATACACATTTCTGTGATAATGTTCATGAGATAGAAACTGAACAATATCAACAACTGGACACAGAAATATACAACATGTCACTGAAAACAGAAGTCTTTTAAAATATTGCTGTAAAGCCAAACTCAAGTTTACTATATATGTGTTTTGTGTGTGCATGTTTTATAAATGATCATGATTTAAAATGTTTTATGAAATAAGAATTATAAATCAGGTTCTGGTTATTTTATTTTCTGATCCTTTCCCTGATGTTTGTCATCTATCAGCATTACAATTTATTTCCTGCCCTAGTTTAGTCTCATTTTTTCCCATGTCAGATTTCGTTCTGCAGTCTCAGGCCTATCATGCACATTCTTTGTCATGTTCTCTCCTCACTGCCTTATGGAAGCACACTGCACATGCGTAGTGAGAGCCACTGTGCCAGAGTCAAATTCCTCATGTGTTCAACCTGGCCAGTAAAGCTGATTCTGAATTTAAATATTATTACATCAACAAATATATAGTTTTTTTTATTTGATATATGAATTGCTTCTTCAGATATTAAAGATTTTACACAAAAAATGAAGTGTATTTCTCAGTTTGATAAATAATTTATAACAATATATTATATATAATGTAATTTTAGATGTTTTTGAACATTTAAAGTTAACTGTTTTTGTCTTTCATCCTAGTTTGTATTCATATTTGTTTTAGTTTTTATTACATTTGAAGTATAAATAGTGTTAATATCTTCAGATTTTCTTTTAACATTTTGTAACTTATTCAATACCTTTAAAATTTTGTTCTGCCTGCTTTTTATTCATTACTTTTGGTGACACTGATGTTTATTCATTTTATTAATTTTTCAGTTTTTGTTCTTCAGTAAATAAAATAGTTTCAGTAAATAAAGTAGTTTCACCTTTGTTACCCCTCCTTGTAAATGCAGCTCATCACCGCAGGTGTCCACACTGGGGGCGGTGAGGCGGCTTCCGGTCAGGTGACTCTCTATACCCGGGTGAAAGGCGAGGTCTCCCGGTTTGAATGTGCTAATAACAGCAGCTTGTATTAGCGTTGTGCGGGCTGAGGAATGGAGAACAGAGTCGTCTGAGTTTTAAATGTCTCTGTTCGTGATAGCGAGTTAGTGGAGCTTGTTCGGCAACTGCAGGTACAAACTATTCTCTTTATTTACAGTTTGTGTTATGCTTTTAGCATGCTAACAGGCTAGCCGCATTTTGGACTGAGTTCCTCTAATAACGTTACTTGACTGTTAACGCTAGATTATCCTAGGTTGACAGTGCCAGAACCGGGACAGGACTGGTTCTAACCACTGCCGTCCCGGTTTAAAACCCGGTGTTGGTTAGTTTGCCTGTCTGTAACAGGGTCTTGTGCTGTCTGTGCAGTTTAACAGTAGGATTAACGCACAACACAAGCTGATTACGAACCGATGCAGGAACACGTAGATATAGTGGGGCAAATAAGTATTTGATACACTGCCGATTTTTTAAGTTTTCCCACTTACAGAGAATGGACCCTTCTGTAATTTTCATCGT